TGTGGTTGTATTTTCTAATCGAGCTATAAAGAATTTTTTTCAATAGTAACCTAACTTTTTTAACTCGTTTAACCATCTTATCAAAGCTAATGTATCAAATACTATATAGATATTGCAAACGCTGATTAATATCAAATGATAATCCGCCAAAATATTTGGCTCCAAATAATCCCATCTTCAGTGCAATTTTATTGCTATGAAACCGTCGGCTAACTCCTTTCATCTTATACCAAAAAACGTTTTTTGTTTCAGGTGGTTATGACGAAGGCAAATTTTCTAACGTAATCTTTCGATTGTTAAATAAAATAATAAAATGTTCATCTAATAGTTATGTGGCATTTATTTAAAAATTTTATTCATTTATAAAAACAACTCAAAACATAGCATGAAAAGCCCTATCAAACATTTTTAAAATATTTGATAACCAAGTGATCACAATTATATTTCGAACATAATTGCATGCACGAGCGGGCAATCAATTATTATACAGTTACTAAGTTACGATATAAAAATTATATAAAATTACATTGTTTAATGACTCTTCACTAAGAGGGGGGGGGGGGGGGTAAAGTTTTATGACATGCTTATTTTTGGGGAGTTGGTCGATTTGTGACAGTTTGCGACACGGGGGAGGGAGGGGTTCAAAAAAACGTTAAAAAAGCGTGACGTCCTTTATGGACAGTCCCTTACATGTACGTTTATTTATTCATTTGTTTGTTTGTTTGTCTGTTCCTTTGTTAAGATCTTGAAAAGACCTTCAAGTCTGTTTGAGGTCCAGAAAAAATTTGGTCAACGTTTAAGTTCAAGTAAACTTTACTGGAAGCACCTTCAATTCCGAACAATTTTGCTAAGAAGCAAAGTTTTATTTTTGTTTGAGGTGAAAAAATATATTTTTTTTTTATAAGAACTTAATGATCTTTATATTATATTATATTATATGCATTATTTGGTAAAAACTTTTTTATTTAGATTTTTATTTGTTTGTAACACTTTTTCGCGTAAACACATAGTGGATATACATCACGTTAACACATAAACTAGCGAGTAAAAAATGTAAAACTTTTTAAATTTATAGACAATTGTTATTATTTTTTAATATTTTAATAAAATTTTATTAATTTAATTTACTAAAATTATTTTAAATAATTAAAACTCATGTAATGAAGAGAGAAAAAGAGTTAGATACTAAAATGCCAACGGCTTACAGTAAAATTAACTTTTTGCCAACCTGGGATTTCCCACAAATCACGATGACAACAGTCCAAGATCAAGTTGTCAAAAACTAGAACTCATCAATTTTGCCGATGAATAATTTTCTCATCCATTTTTTAGTCTTTTTCTCACGGTTCCAAATTAAAGTTTAAAGTTACATTTTTTAACTGATTACAAAGCTTGTAAATAAATCTGAACTGAATGAATTTCATTCATAAACATTGGACACCTGCTGTTTTAAAAATTTTAAAGATTAAATGATTAAATTAAATTTGAATTAATTAAACATTAGGGTTAAGATAAAATATATAAATTAAACAGTTTTTTTATTATGGTTATAATTATATAATATAATAGTCAGCAATGTATTTACCCCCAAACCCTGATATTTTTGCCATACAAGTTAGTGGAGAGTGCTTTTGATTTTAAATTTTTAATTAAATAAGTTGATATTCTTTACAAGTTTACAACACATTGTCATACATGATTTCTTTTTTCCAAGGACATTGAATTTTTCTATATAATTTTTTTATGCTGATTTCAAATTTGATAACCATTTTTCTCTATCAGTCTATTCTATCACTTTGTTGTGCTCAAAACAAAAACGCTCATAACTGTTTTTAAAAAACATCATGTCGGAGCTTTCAGTTTAGGGGTCACATTATTAGCCCTTGATGTCGGTGTTATTTGATTCATTTAACCATTTTTTAAAATTTAAAATTTTTCCGTTTTGCTATCTCTTTTTTTTCACTTTTACCTTTTTAAACTCAAAATTCATTTTATTTATATTAATACATTTAAAGAAATCATAAATATGTATAAGGAAGTTGAAGAAATAATCTGGAAAAACTCAAATAAATATAAACATATTATAATTAATGACCGAATCATTTCAGTTTGGTGGAATAATAGAAAACATCTCAATAGAGCTGGATATGGCCAGCCGGACAAAGATCATGAATTTAATTGATGAAGCCAGGGTTGGCCTTTAATTTTTAGAGGGATGTGTTGATTTTTTTAAGGGATTTGTAGTATTTTTTTAGGGATGTGTTGAAATTTTTTAAGGATGTGTTGAATTTTTTTAGGGATTTCTTTATAATAAGTATTTTTTCAAATTTTTTATTCTTATTAGTTGATATTTTCATTATTGTTAGCTAATCGATTATTTAAATTAATTAATTAATTAATTAATTAGTTTTTGTAAACTATATTTCCCAATACAGAAAGCTGGGAAGTTGACGAGAGATAGAAGATATAACAGGAATTCATTCTTCAAATTCGATGTAAACTCATTCAAAATTGTGACAGATGATAATAAACAGGTGATTTTTTTGTTTTTGAAGTTTTGATGACATTATTATCATCATCATCATCAACGTCGTCGTCATCGTCATCATCATCGTCGTTGTCATCATCATCGTCATCACGTAGGATGTTTTGGTAAGAATGCCTATCCACCAAGTAGCATGCTTCTCATACGTTTATGAAGATGACCAACATATCATTGCTATTAAATATGGTGGGTACATACATACACAAAAACATTTATACACACACAAAAACACACATTCACATACACACACATACATACACGTACATACATAAATACATACATATACACACACATACATACATGCATTTATACACACACAAACACACACACAATACACATACATACACGTGCATGCATACACACACACACACATACACGCATTTATGCACTAACAAATACGTAGGTGAGGTTGACATGAAAAGATCCCACAACAACGAAGTAGACGAGGAATTGATATGCAGGCTGATCATATGCTTTTGTGATTCAAAGGTTTCTCGGTGGTCGCTCTTGATAATGATGATGATGGTGGTGGTGATGATGGTTATGATGATGATGAAAGTAGTAACGACGAAGACGACGATGATGATGGTGAAGACAGCGACGAACAACGATGAGGATTGTGATCGCGATTCCAATTGGTGATCTGTCTGGAGTCTATATTGAAATTGCGTAATTTTCATTTTTAACGCTATCATCATCATCATCATCATCATCATCATCACAAACCTAAGCATCATCATCATCACAATCTCAACAACAACAACAACAACAACACAGCAATCAGCAGAACAGCTGTGCAGCTTTGCCGAACGTTGCTTCTCAGAGCTCTTCAACTGGGAGGCCACAGCGATGATGACATCATCATCAGCAGCTGGCCACAACCACATGAGAAGTACCAGTCTAACCAATAATAATAATAATAACCATAATAATAATAATAATATTTATGATAACGGTGTGAGGTTGTCAAGTTAGTGAAGATTTTGATGATATTGATGATGGATTGATTGGTTGATTGGTTGGTTGATTGGTTGGTTGATTCGTTGATCGTTTGATTGATTGGTTGGTTGGTTGATTTATTGATCGATCGATTTATCGATTGATTGGTTGATTGATTGATTGATTGATTGACCGATTGATTGATTGATTGATTGGTTGATTGATTGATTGATTGATTGATTGATTGATTGATTGATTGATTGATTGATTGATTGATTGATTGATTGATTGATTGATTGATTGATTGGTTGGTTGGTTGGTTGGTTGGTTGGCTGGTTGGTTGGTTGGTTGATTGATTGATTGGTTGGTTCATTTTTACGCTGCACAGGTGCTGATTCATTGAATGGGCGACTGTCGAGAGCCAAGTACAGTTTGTATGTCATTCTCTAATCATCGTAATTATTGCTTGCGCTTTAATTAATGTCATCATCATCATCGTCGTCGTCGTCTTCGTCATCATCGTCACAATCATCATCATCGCCACAATCATCATCATCGCCACAATCATCATCACGTCTCAGCTTTTCAAACTCCTGCTTGGATGTCCGCGATCCCCTTGACGCAAATGGCGGTCAGCAATTATCATCCATCTTCAACAACAGCAGCAACAACAACAACAAGAGTGACGTAACGAATGACGTCATCAACCAGGGTTACGTCAGTGAGAGCGATTCATCGCAGCTGAGTATGAAGGAACAAGAGCTGATCAGAGATTACATGCGTAAGGTAGTTGTAATGGATGATCACAACACATACACAGACACACACACACACACACACACACACACACACACACACACACACACACACACACACACACATACAAACAGACACACACACACATATACAAACAGACACACACACACACACACACACACACAGCTATACAACGTACTGACGAACTTTGAGCTAGAGAGTTTCGCTCAGTTGGTCAAATCCTGGCAAAGAGACATACCATTTCACGATTTCATGAACCAACTTCTGCAGCTCTATGGTGAAAAACGAAAATATCTGCTGAAAGGTTTGCAATAAATCATGTTAATTAGTTATGTAATTATGTTAATTAGTTGATTGATTCGTTAATTAGTTGATTGATTCGTTGTTTAGGTTAATTAATTAATGCTAACCGGTTAATTAAGCACGTTAGTTAGTTCATTAATTATACATGGGATGTAATTTTTTAATTACAATTTTTTCTGTAGAATCATTTTGTTATGGCTGATATTTTTGTGGGAATAGATTTTGCATTCATTTTTCTGTAAATTTTTTCCATCTTTCATTCCACTAAACAGAAATGCGACCGTTCATTCCGACAAAAGATATTTCATATTACGAAAGTTTTCTAGCCCAGCATCAGCTGACCGATGATAAAAAGTAGAATCGTGGTGATTTTTCGTTTATATTTCCTTTCTATGGTCATTATTATTATAATTATCCCTATAATTTTTATTGTTATACTGTTGTTTTTATTATTTTGTTACTGAAAAATATGCAAAATTGTTAATCTATAATTTATATGGAATCATGTATACATTTACTTAAATTCTTAGATCATTTGTTTTGTGTTTTTGCAGACAGACAAGTTTGTCAAATCGAGTGCATGATTGTAGGTGAGATTCAATGAATTCAATAAATTCATTGAATCCAGTAGAAATCAATTATACAATTCATTTTATCGCGTTAATGTTATCACGTTCGTATTCGTCGTTCGGTTGGTTACATCGTACTGTTGTTTCTGGACGATTTTTATTGAATGATTTGATAATATCATTGACTGAAGTTAATTATTCTAGTATATTTTGTTGTCCATTTTGTTAATTTTTATCGACGGTGAATTTAAAGTCCTGTTGTTATTATTTTAGCTGAATGATACGTGTATCAATGGAATGATATTATCCTCGATGATGTTATTAATTTAATTAAAGGAGAAATAAATTTTTTTAAACAGATATGGTTTCATTAATTGCAGTATAACACCAATATTATTTCCAAATTAAAAATTTATATTTTGGGTTCTTCTGATCTGGCCATGGTTGTAGAATATATCCGTAGTTCTGGCAGTCATAATCATGTTGATATATACATGGTCTTAATACTTTATTCTAATTTCAAAAATGTTTTTCAAATTTTGGATAAGTTGTTCTGAAAATGCGTTATTTAAAGAAAAAATTTGTAAAAAAATTTAATAGTTTTTGCAAATTTTGGCGATTCTTCACTTCAAGGACCAAACATTCCGAAATAGAAAGCTTTTAAATAATTTTAGTAGAAATTCTTTGCATCACGTGGTGTCAGCCATTTTGTTTATTTTTGTGAAATTTTATTTTTTAATAAGTAAATTGCAACTAAAGCTTTAGCATTCTAAACTCCACTTTAAATAGATAAAATAATGTAAATATTTTTTGTTTAATTTTTGCGTTTTCTATTGTCTTGAATGTTTCAATCGCGAGTTTTTTGCCACGTAAATAATGGCCGCTGCTATTATAAATAAAAAATTCTCTGCTCTTCCCAGCCTAGTTTTGTTTTTATCCGTTTTTCATTTCTGCTAAAATTTATGCCGGACATTTCCGGCTTAAACAAAACTATCAGGCGGTGGGTTTGAGCGTCTCCAAGATTAGATCCAGTTGTTCATCTCCTTCCCTTGAAGTTTTCAAAATAAAAACGAAATGAAAAGTTATAATTTACCCTTTTCCTCTCCTTTCAGTTTTGTGTCTTGTTTATATTTAGAATTCACTCAGTAACAACTGCTTAATTATTGGGTTTTGGTAGGTTTGCACAATCTTATCTAAGTGTTTTTCTAGTGTTAATTTATCTAGTCTATATTATATATTGTCTGACAATTAAGATTGACTCCCAAAAGTTAAAAAGCAGTTTTTTGGATTGAGTTTTTATTTAAAAATCAGGAGATAATTTATTGCATTTTATTTTGTTTAATAATAAATAATATGAATAAATAAATGATTGTTTTTATTGTTTTCTATCCTGCAGACTAATTTAAAAGTAAAAGGAACATTTGATTTGATTCATCCATTTGGACCATGGACCCCAAAACAGACAAAAGTTCTATTCACCAGCAGTTAATTGATCATGGCTTACCTGAACAAGTTATTGAAGAAATTGAAAATTTTCAAAAAACAGGTGAGTGATGAAAAATGTATATGTAAATTGTATAAATTTTGTATATATGAAAAACTTGAGGTCTTTAGAAGTTCATGCCACTCCTTGTGGTTATACTTGAACTTGTGTACTAGGATCAGTCAGTTTTGCAGCTTTAATTGGAGTTGCAGTTTCACTCACATAATTTATCTCCAGTTTAACGTTAAATAGTTTATTTGAGTATTTAATTTTTATCTGAATATTTTTCTTTATTACAACTTATTAAACCTTAATGTTTGAATTTTAATATGAACTATAAAATTTCATTACATTATATAATAGATTTTATTTGAAATGATGACTTTTAAAATTTTGAATTGATATAAATTTAGAGTTATCATTTAATACCATCTGTTTGTAAAGTATGATTTATGAATTGGTTCTTTTTTATGTACAGTACACTTTCCATCAAGTATGAAGTACACCTATTGAGCTTGGCAGTAGATTGATAAGCAGACATTCTATTGACTCTCTCCTTCTCTTTCTCTCCCTCTCTCTCCTTTCCTCTTTATCTCTCTTTGTTGTTACATGTTAAAATATTCACCTGTCTAATTGCTTACTGCCTGCTTGTCATTTATTTTTAGTACCTCACATTCTAGTTATAATCATCATCATCGTTGTTGTTGGTGGTGGTGTTTTTGTTGCTGCCATTGCTGTTTTTGTTGTTATTGTTGATGTTATTGTTAATGTTTTTGTTCTAGCTACTATTGGCATTGTTGTCTCATTTTATTTAATGTATGCATTGAATGTTTTTTTATCTTCATGTGAGCATGTTGAAACAGATTTTACCTCTCTGTGGTTTAAATTTCTTTTTTATGAGTAGTTCAGTGTATTTTTTGGCCTGTACGTGTTAGCGTCAGGAAAATGATTGAAAGTTTTATGAAGTGTGTTGTAATGTTTTCAAATTGAATTTGAAGTGACTCACATAGAGGACAGCATGAGAAATATGCACAAATGCATTGCACTGCACTCTACAATACATAGAATGCCTTCCTTTGTATTTGCACCTCTTGTTTTTGGTTTAACTTTCAGTCTAGTGTTCTGTTGGATGATGTGTTTGTGTGTTATTTAGTTTTTTTTAATCAAAGATTCAATGGCTATTTCAATATATTTATGCTGGTCAAGTACCAGAGAGTTATAATTCTATTACATCATTCACTATCCCTTACTCACACATCCTCAGTCAGTCAATCATCGAACCATTCAATTGTTCATTGATTCTACCATTAATTCATTCTTATTATTTCAGGGTTGTTTAGTGACACTGACCCAGATGAGCGGGCCTGTGAGGCCCTGAAGGAGCTAGGAGCTACTGAGGCCCTTAGTGTTTTATCTGAACTGAAGCAATCACCAAATATTGAACATGTATCTAACAAGAGTGCCTTATTGTGCAGTTTGATCAAAGCGTACAGACAGAAAGTTAAGCAGGGGTTGGATGTCGGGGTGGCTGTCAAACGACCTGGCCCTGATGAGGTCAAGTTGAAGGTCAGTAGGATGTTGCTGCTGCTGATGATGATGATGACAATGGTATTGATTGTGATGATAGTGATGATTATTATTATAGCCTGTATGGATACTATATAGATACATGCATACATATTTGTTACACATCCTTATGTACATAGTAATGAAAATATCCACATTAACATAAACAAGAAAAGCATTATGCTAAGAATGCTTAACAAAATTTTCTTACATGTTCATGCAAGCTAAGCAGTTTTTTTTGTTTCTCATTTATTATAAATAATTTTTCAGTATATTTAAGTTTATTCAATCTATTTGTCTATAGTTTTATGTTTATTTAGATTAAATTGTTAAATAGTTTATTTCTAGAAAGTTTTTTATTAATGTGTTTTTTCTCTTCCTCAATATAGGAGATATTAGACCGCACAAAATACAGTTTAGATGTGACGACCGGACAGAGGAAGTATGGAGCCCCCCACCATACTGGAATGACCCGCTCCTGGC